ATCACAGGATCCAAACTGGGAGATCACAGGATCCAAACTGGGAGATCACTGCTGGTATCCCAGGAGATCACAGGCTCCAAACTGGGAGATCACAGGATCCAAACTGGGAGATCCCTGCTGGTATCCCAGGAGATCACAGGATCCAAACTGGGAGATCACTGCTGGTATCCCGGGTTAACACAGGCTCCAAACTGGGAGATTACTGGGCGTATCCCAGGACATCACTGCTGTTATCCCGGGAGATCACAATCTCCAAACTGGGAGATCACTGCTGGTATCCCAGGAGATCATAGGCTCCAAACTGGGAGATCACTGCTGGTATCCCGGGAGATCACCGGGTGTATCCCAGGATATCACTGTTGTTATCCCGGGAGATCACCGGCTGTATCCCAAGAGGTTCCCCAGCTCTGCCCCGCCCCGGCACAGGAGATCCTTCCTTAGCTCTACCCCACCACAGACCGGGAGGTGCCAGGTCCTGACCCAGCCCGGGCACCACCGGAGATGCCAGAACCGCCCGGCTCTGCCCCGGGGCGGGTTGTGCGCCAATGAACTCGTCACTCTGGCACCAAAGGTCCGAGCCAGAGGCGCTGCCCGTGCCCTCCGCGCGTTGCTGGGGTGAGCACAGCCTGCCAGACTCGTTCCGTGCCTGTAGGTGCTTTTGGAGTTACTCACTTCATCATTTCCAGGCGTTTCTTTGGGATTGCTGCAACCAGCCTCATTTGAAACAGGCTCAGATCTTGTCTTAATTCCCTGGAAGTGCCCAAGGCCAGGTTGGACTGGGCTTGGAGCAAACTGGAACGGTGGAAGGTGTCCCTGTCCATGGCAAGGGGCGGATGATGGATGGATGAACTTTGGGGTCCCTCCCCTCCCAAACCACGCTGGATTCCATGAACGGAACGAAAACACCCCCAAGGCCGGTACTGAGGGGCCTCCCCGCCGGTTCTTTCTCTCCCTCCTCCTTCCGCATCGCTCCTACTGCGCGCCGCCATCTTCCCCGCCGCTTCAGCGGCGCGCCGGAAGTGATGCATGAAGGAGGAAGAGACGCGCGGAACACAAGCGGCGGCGCGCTGATGACGTATTTCCTGTCCCGGTAGAGGCGGGGGACGCGTTCGACCGGCGGCCGCGATGGGAGGGGGAGACCTGGTGAGGGGAACCGGGTGGGGCTGGGAAGGGAGTGAGGGAACCGGAGGGGGCGGTGAGAGGGGAAGGGGAGAACCGGGAAGGAGACCTGGGGAGGGGAACTGCGGGGACTGCGAGGGGAACCGAGGAGAGACCTCGTGAGAGGAACCGGGAGGGCTGGGAGGAGAGTGAGGGAACCGGGGGGGTGAGAGGGGAATGGGGGCAAGGAGACCTAGTGAGGGGAACTGGGGGGACTGAGCGGGAAA